ATGATAGTAATTACCTGGAGAGAATGCCTCCTCCCAAGTTGATACGCCTAACAGCTTCCTCCAGTTACAACACTCCTCACCATCATGCTCGGTCAAGCCATAGGAAGTTGCCATGGGTCCAGCATAAGTTAGCAGGCCGGTAAGTGTGGTGTCGGAGAGAAGTGAGGGTCTTCTGTAAACTGGAGATAGCGTTGACTTTGAAGTTATGGGTGAAGGTGAAATATCAGTATGTAATTCCGAAGTGGATATTATGGAATCTCGCAATAACGACTGAGAGGCACTCGAAGAGACACGAGACATTTGGGTCGGAGAATGTGGTAGTGCAAGTGAGGAATTCATTGAAGATACTGTCTTTGCTGTAATGACAGCTACAGGATGCCCAACAGAATTAAGAGTGGATGAGCCAGTACTACTAGAATGTCTGTGGCGAGCTGGGACGCTTGCCAGAGGCAAATCTGTCAGGATGCAGCCGCCAGAATCAGATAGGATACCACAACTTCCGCCACTTGCATAACTAGCACTAGTTGATGAATTGATACAGACGGGTAGAAGGCCACTAGTAGAGTGGCTTGCCGGAGAAGTCAGGTCAGCTAAACTGAATCGCCTATTCTAAAATAGATAAAAGGGAGAAAGCACAATGACAAGAAATAGAAAAAAAACGAGTGAAAATCTAAATCAATAAGCAAAGAAAAACTAGTATTTGATAATATTTGGGTGAATTCTATAAGGATTCCAGAAAAAAATAATCGTTCAAAGAAGTAGCCTGATCTTGCCTTCACAAATTGATCGTGGTGTCAGTAAGAACTAGTTGGACGAATCTTGCCAAATAGCCGGACTGTGGACGTAATACATCTCCAGACGCTTCCCTGACATCGTGGTTGGAATTTTTAGTCTTTCTTATCTTAATATGAGATGTATTCACCTTATTTCGTTTAAGGTGATTAAGGACTGGTAGTCTCATTCCCCCACAATGATATGAGTAGAGCTGACTTTTCCATTTAATTTTACATAGCCTTGCTTTCCCAAAAGTTGTTCTCATCCTGCACCAGTGGACTGCAGTTTCGACCTCGCATCGGTCTTATTAACACCCTCAGCGAGAGTCGAACCGAGACAGTGCAGCATGTGATCTTGACACGTTAACCACCCAGCCACATTACCACAAGTGCCCGTGGGTCACAGGGCAGATGTCAATTTCAAGAAAGGCCAGTCCTTTTCCAATATCACATTCCTATCTTAGGGCTCAGTGACAACTCGCGAGAGACATGTGAAGTTAATCCAATAAGTAACATTCTGCCGAACAGTTGTGCATTCACTCATAAATTATGGGAGTAAAATTGCCCAAAAATCCACTCAATACAGTGGGGGAAAAACAATTCTAAGTCAAACATGCCACTTACCTCATTAAACTGCGGTAAATGTTATGTGTGTGACTTTAGGAGATATTACCGTTCGACAGGATTAATAAAATTCTGCACCAGGCATCTAATTAAAAGTTTGGAGAAATTTATGAAATGATGAATGGGTTACCTAGGCGCCGGCGGGAACTATCCAGGATTCTGACCCCAGACGATACTCAAAAACTCCAGATTATGGTCGACAATAATTCACAAAGGATCCCAATAACAAATATGGAGCAACGCACAAATAGGCGAAGTTTATGTTTGAAAATCAAGAAATTAAGCGAAAGGTTATCAAGTAGAGCGAAGTAATCATATCAAATTTCACAAAGAAAAACAAACGTGGGGCTTAAATGAGCAGAATTATTTGTAAGTTTTAATGTACAATCTAGGAATACAAACAAGTCACTGGCGGCCCTGGTGGAGATATTTGACTGAGAAGGGGATATCCTGGAAGCAAAGAGGATCAGGAAGGAGGCGTTAACACGACTAATAATCTATACAGCAAGAACTACCTTCTTCATATTCAACGACATTGCAACTCACCTCTTTTTACATGCCTAAACATAAACAAATAAGAAGAGCAGATATAAAGACCAAGGTGCTATGGCCTCTGATTTGATCATACTCTCCTTTTGATACATAAGTGATCCGACCTCGTTTTCGAAACTTGGTCGTGTTTTCGAGGAACCCTAATTAGACACGCCTAATGCAAATCCATTGTTATGGTTGTTATGATAATTCCGAAAGTTGGTCCACGGACTTGGCACATTAAAAGGGGATTCCAAGCGGTAACCGCTGCATGCGATACCTGGATGATTACTTCGCATTTTGGTTGCATGGAAGAGAACATTTGGAGTATTTCATAAAATTCACAAACCAGATTTATGAAAAGATTAAATTCACAATGAAATTATAGGAGAGGCGGTCAACCTTCCTAGATGTTAAAGTCATTCGATTGAATGGGAAACTCGAGAGGAAATTGTTCCGAAATAAGTCATACGCCGGAATAATAATTAATTTACAATAAGACTAAAGATCGGAATAATAATAAGCATGAATGCCAGAAGCCCACGATTAACGGACGTGGCGTTTTCGGATTTAGGATTGGACAAATTGACTCGGATATTCCCCGGCAAAAGATAATCAAGAGAAGTAATAGAAAGTGGCATAAGCGCAGTGACAAGCAGATAGCGGGACGGAGATTATAAAATAAAAGTAAGAATGAGAAAGGCTTACAAAGGTAGATATGCCTACTGTCAGGCAAGCTAGAAAAAACACGGAAAATATGAAAATAGAATAGTATGGTGATTACGAGGGTAGAAGCAACACTTTACCCACGTGACATGAGAGGATATACAAATTAGACTGCTCGAGAGTTTACTGAATAGCACGTGACGTCTGTATTGACGAAACAGTGAGAAAATCAGTATAGGAATAAAGGAATATCAAAGGGTATGTAGGAAAATGGATAGAAAAAGATTAGAAATAGAAGAACACATCGCACAGACTTGACATGAGCTAAATTGAAAAGCAACAGAAAGAGAGGTGTTTGGTGAAGAGATTCGAAGGTCGGTTCCACCAGAAGACGACGGCGAATTCCTCTTTACCAGCTGTC